TCTTTCTACAAACATTTGTGAAAGAATAGGTCACGCTCAGGAGCTCAGTGAATCCTAGCGTGGTACTGTGCTAGTTTGCCACCTGTGCAATAATTCCATCAGAGAAATGTCCTTGCTACTAAATATTCCATGGTCAACTGTTAGTGGTATTATAACAAAGTGGAAGCAACCTAAAACAGCAACTCTGCCACCAAGTGGTAGAAAATGACAGAGCGGGGTCAGTGTATGCTGAAGCGCAGAAGTGGCCAACTATCTGCACAGTCAATAGCTAAAGACCTCCAAACTTCATGTGGCCTTCAGCCTTATCACATCAGTGTGTAGAGAGCTTCAAGGAATGGGTTTCCATGGCTGAGCAGCTGCATCCAAGCCTTACATCACCAAGTGCAATGCAAAGCGTTGAATGCAGTGGTGTAAAGCACGCCACCACTGGACTCTAGAGCAGTGGAGACGTGTTCTCTGGAGTGATGAATCGCACTTCTCTGGCAATCCGATGGACTTGTATGGGACTGCATTTGGCAGTTGCCAGGAGAACGGTACATGCCTGACTGCATTGTGCCAAGTGTAAAGTTTGGTGGAGGGGGGATTATGGTGTGGGGTTGGTGTTCAGGGATTGGGCTTGGCCCCTTAGTTCCAGTGAAGGGAACTCTTAAGATGTCAGCATACCAGGACAATTTCATGCTCCCAACTTTGTGGGAACAGACACAAAGGAACACGAATTCATCTCAGGAGGTGGTTGGCAAGGCACTGAGACTCCACATTACTCAGTTCCATACTTGGCTAGTGTGCCTGTCACATAGGTGGATGCATTGGCTGAGGACCTTTGTTGTGGGTGGGCAAAGCCTGATGGGGAACTTTGAGAACCTAGTTCCCCAGCCTCTCTTGTGATTGACAGCAGACAGCCCAACAGTAGATATGGAATCCACCAATGTCAATCACAAAGCAGGTGGACCTGATGGAGAACTAGTCTCCCCAGTAGCCCACTGTCCAAGTTGAACCTCATGTCATTGGTTGATAGGGCGCTGGTAGTCTACTTCTTAACAACTAATGAAGCAAATACAAGGGGCAGGGATTCTTTTTGAATTTGTCACAGCTATAGCGACACAATGTGAAAATGGCACAGGTGCGAACTACCTGAATCTGTCATATGTATCAAAACTGTCAATGATCCTGTCTCAAGGCTTTCCTGAATTAGGTGCAGGACTATCTAATGGGCCAATACCATCAAAAAAAGTATCACAAATGCTTCAATAAAAATTTCCCCATTGAGCAAGGCATATCATAAAGGGTGTCTATGACACTCATTAGAATTCTAACATGGTTCTGCTCACTGTATGTAGAGGCGCAATGAGGCCGGAGTTTCAATATGGACAGCCCTTCCTGAGCTCCCACCTGTCAGGGCAGTTGTCACACACAAAAAATGCATCAGCCAATGAGGTTTGAAGCTGAGTGGGTGGAGACTGCCTGAGAATTGAAAGGGACAAGTGCCTCATCAGGTTTGCTCCATTTGTAATTTGCAGTAGGCAGATTTATAGCCAATAGCCTGTACACTGCCTACTGTCAATCACAAGGAGAGCATGTATGTGCATGGACCTTAAAAAAATGGCCTGTACTTGATGAGAAGAATCTTAGCTGCCAGTTCAGTAACTTCCTTGAATGTTTGGCAGATGGTCTCCTTCTTTTGTTATGAAATATCTATATGTATGTTTGTATGTATATACACTGCCTGATTTTATAAAACTGGAGAAAGAAGTTGAGGCAGGATCTCTTAATATGTGGATATATCCCTAAGTGTGGACAGATCTACTCATTAACCACTTTAGTACCGCGCTATAGTTTGAAAGACGACAGGGCGTCCATGGATGTTCTCCCAGAACCCAGCTCCCTGTATGCTCCCTGAGGTGCACATTGAGCACGCTCTGTGTCCACTGTGTCTTTTGGACACAGCTGATCACAGATCACAGTAAAGGGCCAATCCCAGTGGCCCTTTACCATGTGATCAGATGTGTCTAGTCACTTTGTAAACAGACTTGATGGTTATTGGCAATCCAGCAAGGCTGTTAGTACTTTGTTTACACTGATTAGTGCAGCCCCATCAGTGCCGCCTCATTAGTGCCCATCAGTGCAGTCTATCACTGTCCATGAGTGCAGCCTGATTAGCGCACATCAGTGAAGAAGAAAAATTACTTATATGCAAAATTTTTTTTAAAAAAAAAAAAAAAAATGTTTTGGTCTTATTTTGCTTTGCAAAAAAATAAAAAGAAAGCTCTGTTTTAAAAAAAAAAAAAAAAAAAAAGACAAAAATCCCATATGGGTACAGTGTTGCATGACTGCTCAATTTCCATTCAAAGTGCCACAGCGCTGGAAGCTGAAAATTGGCCTGGGCAGGAATGGGGTGAAAGTGCCCAGTATTGAAGTGGTTAATTTAACCCTTTTCATTGCCAGGTCTGTAAGTAGTACAGAAATTACGGCGAGGGAATTTATACACAATCCGGTAGCTGTAGCCCCCGGGATTGTTTATAATACTGACAAGTAGACTCCTGCCAATCAGGTGCAAGCAGTCGCGTTGCTGCGCTGCTACCCGATTGCTTCCACGGCTCCCCTGTTCGCCCCCCCCCCCGCATGCACTCCCACCATGTATCTGGTCTTTGGGGAGCGCCATGGCAGGTGGAGGGGAATGTTCACTCTCCTTCCCTTCTTTCTGTAGCTAGGGAGAGATGTATTGCAATGCCATCTGCATTGCAATACATCCAGTGGAGCCCAGAGGAGACATGCAGGGTCTTAATAGTTACACCCAAGCACATACCATTTCCCCCCCCCCCCCCCAAAGAAAGAAAATAATTTTGAGGCCCCCCACATATGCGCACATACAAATGTAAACGCACACGTTGGGCACGTGAAAACTTTGATTGCGATACACATGTTACGTGTCACTGTGCACACTGGAGTGAGAGCAATAATGCTAGCACAAGAACGTAATGCTAGCACAAGAACGTAATGCTAAACTATTGACCTATAAGGGCTTTTGAACCATTGTCTATAGAAAATATAGAGTACTGAATTTGTTGCCATTTCATAGGAGCACACAAATTTAAGGTTTGGCATGTTGGGTATCTATATACTCGGTGCAACCTCATCACATATTTTATATTTTACCAACAACTTGTGTAATATATTGTGCTTGTTTGCTGTAAAATTCACTTTAGTGGTTTTTTTAAACTGAAATTTTGCATTTTCTGGACCTTTATGATAACATGGTGTGACATAAAAAAATTGGAACTACCACTATGTTATTCTCTAGGGTGTCTGCTTTCAGAAAATATATAATTTGGGGGGGGGGGGGGGGGTTTGTGTAATCTTTAGGCTTAAAATAATTTTTTTAAACGTTTGTAAAAAAAATGGCTCCGGCAGAGAAAGGATTAAGAGGCCAAAATAATTTGCTGAGTCAATAACCAAAAGGGTATGAGCGAAGGTGTCACAGTATGGATCTCCAAGGATGTGGAAAGGATTGAGGGTTTATCTGTTACAGGTTGTATGGTGCCTTTATGGAGGATAGATCACCTTACACCTTGCACAAACAGATATAGCATGGAGGATCACACATGTACTTTATAACCCACAATCTTTCAGATATACAGTGGGAAAAATAATTATTTGATCCCCCTGCAGATTTTGTAAGTTTGCCCACTTTCAAAGAAATTAAGGGTGTATAATTTATTTTATTTTAGGTTTTAGTGAATAGAGACAGAATATCAACCAAAAATCCAGTTGATTATTTTTTTTTTTTTAAATACAGTCTTAGTCTGTAGGGTTCAATATTGAGTTGGCAGCAATAACAGTCAACTCTTCTTGGAAAAAGGAGTGTGTCAGGGGAATGTTTGCATTCGTCCAGAAGTGCATTTGTGAGGTCAGGAACTGATGTCGGACGAGAAGGGCTGGCTTGCAGTCTCTGCTCTAATTCATCCCAAAGGTGTTCTATCGGGTTGAGGTCAGGACTCTGTGCAGGCCGGTCAAGTTCCTCCATCCCAAACTCGCTCATCCATGTCTTTATGGTTCTTGCTTTGTGCACTGATGCTCAGTCATGTTGGAACAGGAAGGGGCCATCCCCAAACTGTTCCCACAACGTTGGGAGCAGGAAATTGTCCAAAATGTCCTGGTATGCAGATGCTTTAAGAGTTCCCTTCACTGGAACTAAGGGGCCAAGCCCAACCCCTGAAAAACAACCCTACACCATAATACCCCCCCCCACCAAACTTTACACTTGGCACAATGCAGTCAGGCAAGTACCGTTCTGGCAGCTGCCAAACCCAGACATGTCCATCAGATTGCCAGACAGAGAAGCATGATTCATCACTCCAGAACACGTCTCCCTTGCTCTAGAGTCCAGTGGCAGTGAGCTTTACACCGCTATATCTGACACTTTGTATTGCACTTGGGGATGTAAGGCTTGGATGCAGCTGCTCGGTCCTGGAAACCCATTCCACAAAGCTCTCTACACACTCTTGTTGTGCTAATCTGAAGGCCGCATGAAGTTTGGAGGTCTTTAGCTATTGACTTGGCAGACAGTTGGCAACTTCTGTGCACTGTGGGCTTCAGCTTGTACTGACCCCTCTCTGTCATTTTACATGGCCTACACTTTGTTATAATACCACTAACAGTTCACCATGGAAATATATAGTAGCAAGGAAATTTCATGGATGGACTTATTGCACAGGTGGCAACCTATCACAGTACCACGCTTGAATTCACTAAGCTGAAAGTGACCCATTCTTTCACAAATGTTTGTAGAAGAAGTACAAATATTTGTGATTGTATACACCTTTGGCCATGGAGGTGATTGGAACACCTGAATCCATTGATTTGGAGGGGTGTCCCAATACTTTTGTCAATATAGTGTGTGTTTGTGTAAGGTATTTTATTTATTAAGTTTTTAGTCAAGCAAAATACTAGATGTTAGGCACCAATAATTTTTTTGTGCTTTTATAATATTTGTTTTTTATCAGTTCTTGCAGATGCGAATTTCCCAGTGTCCTCAATAAGCCGCTCTGGACCAGAACTTATTCGAGCAGATGGTACATTTTAATTTTACCAGTTTTAGTGGGGTTTTTTTTTTTTTACTTATTATACACATCTGTTTGATGTTGAGCTTCACAATCCATAGGGCTCTTCTCTTGTGGTTTTATATAGAGGCAAATGCTAATTTTTTTAAAAAGTTTATCAGATTATTTAAAGAGTAAGGGATTTTTTTTTTTTAATCTAAGCTTCAGCTTCTTTATCCTCTCCTCCTCCTTTTAAACTTTTCCAACATACTTAAAGCAGAGTTCCACAATTTTTTTCATGATCCTTGCCACACAATGCCCACCCGCAGAACAGTCTGTTATGGGATATTTTTTTTTAATTTATTGATTTCTTTTGCTGTCAGTATCCTGCACTTCCGCTTTGGCCGCCTAGGCGATTTCCTCATTAGGCGATTCCCTAGGACTCTTTGAGAAAACCAATGGCGTTTTCCAGAGTCTTTGGGAAGCCTAATGGTGAAGTCTTGCAGTATTTCTTCACCAGAAGTGACGTTATCAGGAGGAATGATTGCCAGGTTGCCATAACAACTGGGCGGGATCTTCCGTCCCTGCCTCCATTGTTATGGCAACCTACAAAAAAACAATGTGCCATCCTGTGTCCTTGCAACGCAAGCGCGTGTTCAGGAGGTGCATGCTGGGTAGCCAGCTGCACCGAATCCAGAAGAAAGTAGGAGCTGGCTTCAGGTGCCCACACTAGTAATGGCCGCTGCCTGCCAAGATCCTGCTGAGGAATGTCACATTTACAAGTAAGCAAACAACATACACTTAAAACACTGTCCTAATTATATACTGCAACTGAAGAGAATCACGGAGGTGCTTTTTGTAGAAAAGTGCCGAGGAGACTGGAACTCTGCTTTAAGGTGATTGTAGCCATATTAATTCACTTGAAACAACATAGATGTGTACTGTCCATGTTACTTTTTTTAGGACAAGAATTTAGAGTGTATCCTGTCTGTATATCTGCCAAAGCAGTTCTGTTTTATGCAAATCTTTAGAACAATGTTAACAAAAACAATTTCTGGAAAATAGCATACCAGGGAGTTCAAAAAATAGATTCTCACTCTGTAGAACTCTCTTGTGCTTCCACACGACAAACTTTGGTGCTTCCCCAATATTCATGTACCTGTTGGAAACAGGTACATAAATTTGGGGCAAGCAAAAGGTATTTGTCATGCAGAGGTGCACAGAGGCTGGAGTGTCCATATGGACACTGAGAAGTCCGATCAGAATGAGTCACCTACTGAAATCCCATCCATTGCTACCCATTTTGATGCTGTATGCTCTTGTTTAGTGTTAAAGCAGCCTTAATCTGCTCACCCCAGGGTCTTCTGCATAGGGTCCATGCAATTACACAAACCTGCTAATGCCTTCCAAGTCCACTTGCTTTTATAGCCCGAACTTTATGGTGACTAGCCTCATTCTGTAAAGCTGTTTGCTACTCCAAAACATTTTGCTCAGAAATATCCTACTGAGGAGAGCTTCTTGCAAAAATGGACATTCCCTGTCATGGAGCCTGCCATCTCTTGCATTAACCAGATGCAAACTGTTCCTGTAGAGGATAATCCTGAGTTCAAGGACCCAGTATAAAAAAAGGATAGAGGCCCTCTTTAACTCCTCTTTAAGGTTCTTTTTCCTTAGAAGTCTCAGACATGCAACCTGAGGTTGTTTCCACAGCAGCCTGCCAGACCCTTTCAGTCTGGACTAAGCACATGACCTGGGACATTAGCTCAGTTTTTTAACTGGTCACTTTGTTCACCACCAACTTTTACCTGTGGCGATATGCTACTGTGTGCGTGGTTTGGCAGATACGATTTGCCATATCTCCAAAATTAGCCTCTTCTATATCCAAAAGCAGAGGTTTTTTGGCCCATCTTTCCAACAACATTCTGTAACTCAATGCAATTCAGTTGCCATTTTAGTGCTGGACTCTCAATTGTGAGCTCACCCGGCAAGCATCCTGTCTGATAATGCCAAGGCTGCTCAAATGAAAGTGGACTTGATCCTGTCTTGTGCAGAACCACATGTCTGCCTTTCCCATCACAGGTGTGGAAAATCGTCAGGAGGCCTTTCTCAGTGTGGACCCAGAGGAATACGTTTTCTATCTGGAAATCTTCCAAGCCCTTTGTGCATTTGGGGGACACCAGATATGGATCCTCTGGAGTACAGATTAAACAGCAAACTGGAAAGTAATATAATATAATAGAGAAAATGCTACTAAATAGTTGAAAACTCCTCAATAACACACTACAAGTGAAGTCCAATCCCTAATAAGTCCACAAAATATAAACCATAGCCTTCCTGTGTAATCATGGTGAAAAATTGTGTCCAAAGGAAATCTAAATCGATTTCCACGATAAATGTCCCCTCAAAAAAAGAAAAACATCACATAGTGCATTATCTTTTATAATCTACATATAAACATGTGACATCACTCAAGTGAGTATCCCATCAAAAACTTTGCAGTGAAAAATAGTGAAAAAGAACTGTGAATCAAACGGTGAAACAACACTGTGTGTGTGAATCACTCTTCAGTGCCCAAACACAAGCGAACACAGTGTACACTTCTGATTATAGTAAGGAGTGGGTACCCTTACCATAAATCCCAAATAATCACGCCTATAATATAATCCAATAACTGGTGAGAAATGGCCCTCCTGTAGATCTCCGCAAGGCATATACAGTCTCCACGGCACTAACTGGATTCATCAGCCATAGTACTCCATGTGGCCCCATACACCTTGCTCCATTCAGATGTACGTATATGAGGGACAATAGTAGTGTAATACCACCAAGATAAATGCAATAATAAACTTTAATCAAACTCCTCACATTATTCCAGCCTTTAAAACCGCTTTCTATACAATAAAAGTAACCTTTCTGCCATCCAGGAAACATCCAGGCTCTCACAGGTGATCCTTTCCCTTTTCCAAAATGGCCGCCGGTCTACTTCCGGTTCCCGTGTGCGTCTTGACGTCACTTCCCTTGACGCGTTTTGTCATCAACTTAATCATAAGGGATACAATCGTCAGACAAGGAAGTTCTATTTATACCCCTCCTCTGTATGGCGCCAATACACGTGCCGCCATATTTGAGAGGGGAACGTTGCCCTTACTATCCGGTATATGCTTAAAGGAATACCGCAGCAGAGAACCCTTGTATAAATATAGCATATTATCCTACAATACCCCTAATAACATATAAAATATCCTATATATATATATTGCACATTATCCTACAATACCACATCAGTGCTATCAAAGGACAAATCTCGGCCTCAGCCATTCTGTTTCAGAGACTGTTTGCTTCTCATTGCACACATCTCTCTCCCTTTATGCTCTCCTGCATCGTTTTGAAGATTAAAGCAGAACTTGACCTATAACAACTTGATAAAAATAATACATTTTAGGGAGGAACATACATTCCAGATTAATAATTATTGTACAAAAATTAGTGTGTTCTGTAAATTGCTTCCAGCGTTGTCCCTGTTTCTTCTTGCTGGAGGCTGCCATTTTGCTGAAGCCCAGAGCCTTTGAGCAGCAGTAAATCTTTAGGCTCTCAGCAGATTGGCCTCTACATGTTCGGCACAGTGCCCAAAAAAAAAGATCAAATGGGCATGTGCAGAGCAGGGTGAGGCAGTGTATTACTGTATTTTAAACAGTATAGGCACTTATTTTTTATATTTTACATAGCTGTACCTGCACAACAGGACAGCCTAAAGTGATCTAGCAGGACTTAATTTTCTGACTAAAGTTCCTCTTTAACCTGCTTCTTTGGGATCTCTTCCAACCTGTTAGGGATATTTTATTTAACTCACTTGCAGAGTGGCCTTTCTCATTGCTGTCATTTCTGTGCCAGGGGCATAGATAAGGGGGGGAGGGTCAAGGGCATCCAAACCCCTTACCCCCAGGCAGTCCAGATGTGACAGTGACTCGGTCTGGATCTGGACTGCAGTCCACCATTTAGTAATGCCTGCTGTAAAGGGTTGGATTTTTCTCTTCCCTCTTAGGGCTCCCTCCACCTGATGTGTTAGTGCTTCATGGGCTTTTCCGCATCAGGAATTTGTTTCTAGGATTTTCAAGGCTGCCACCTGGTTTTCTGTTTCCATGTTTGTGATGCTTTACCAGGTGGATGTGCAAGTCTCCTCTAATTCCAGTTTTTGGTGACAGGTTTAACTTACCACTAAAATATGTTTCTAGAATACAGTACAGGGCACAGGTCCCTTTCCCTTTTTTTTTTTTTTTTTTCTCTTTTTAATCTCCTTTTTGCTTCCTACAAAACTGAGGCTAGCTGGGAGTGGGAGAGGGTTTTTTGTTTTTTACCAGTGTCCAGTTACCTGAAAGTTGCTGCAGTCAACCCATGGTCAAAGACTAAAGTCCTGTACTGTACACCCAGAAATAGGTTTTACTGGTGAGCCAAAAATCTTATTTTTCTATATGTATTATGCTGTTTACACACGTAGAGCTACACCGTAATGAGGGTTTTTTTTTTTTTTTAAATCCGAGTGAAAATTAGGCAAATTATCTGAAGTGTGTTGCAGTAAAATATACTTAAAACACTGCCATTAAAATATTGCTCATTAAAATATTTATAGTTGTGTACCCAAGCAGTGGTTGATCATTAAAGAACTAAAGTATAACAAACCTCCTGATCTCTGTATACTGTTTTTTCCAGGCTTAGGAATTCCTAGACTTTTGGAGGCCATTTTGCAACTTTTCCCTATGGATACCTATGTCCCTGAACCCCCTACCTGTAAGTGCTAATCTCTTTGCAATCTTTCAACTATATATTGGTAAAATCTTTCTATTGAAGTTTTGCAGATGTATACAAAAATAGAAAAACATCGTACAAAACATAAATACAAAAAAAGAAATAAGCAAAATTACAAAATAAAATGAAGCTGGGTCTCAAAGACCCAACTGCCAAAAAATACCATAAAAAGTAAAACTTTTCATGGCCGTTGTCCCCCCTTTCCCCTTTTTGTGGCACTTTGAAACAAGTGGGAACCCAAAACCCTGTGTGGAACCAAGAGTCTGATAGTGAGCCTGTTGTATGATTTTCTTATACCTGGACTGTTTGCCTCTTTTTTAGGAGATCAATAAATAGTCTTTCACTTTTACAAGCAGCTTGCTGGTGATCTCAGGCCCTTCCATATAACAGTGCATACACTATTTTGCCAAAAGTATTCAGACGCCTGCCTTTACACACACATGAACTTTAATGGCATCCCAGTCTTGGTCAGTAGGTTTCAATATTGAGTTAGCCCATCCTTTGCAGCTATAACAGCTTCAACTCTTCTGGGAAGGCTGTCCACAAGGTTTAGGAGTGTGTCTATGGGAAGGTTTGACCATTCTTCCAGAAGCACATTTTGTGAGGTCAGGCACTGATGTCAAACGAGAAGGTCTGGCTCGTAGTCTCTAATTCATCCCAAAGGTGTTCTATTGGGTTGAGGTCAGGACTCTGTGCAGGCCAGTCAAGTTCCTCTACCCCAAACTTGCTTACCCATGTCTTTATGGACCTTGCTTTGTTCACTGGTGCGCATTCATGTTGGAACAGGTAGGGGCCATCCCCAAACTGTTCCCACATAGTTGGGAGCATAAAATTGTCCAAAAATGTCTTGGTATGCTGATGCCTTAAGAGTTCCCTTCACTGGAACTAAGGGGCCAAGCCCATCCCCTGAAAAACAACCCCACACCATAATCCCCCCTCGACCAAACTTTACACTTGGCACAATGCAGTCAGGCAAGTACCATTCTCCTGGCAACCGCCAAACCCAGAAACATCATCGGATTGCCAGACAAAGAAGCGTGATTGACCACTCAAGAGAACACGTCTCCACTGCTCTAGAGTCCAGTGGTGGCGTGCTTTACACCACTGCATCCAACACTTTGCATTGCACTTGGTGATGTAAGGCTTGAATGCAGCTGTTCAGCCATGGAAACCCATTCAATGAAGCTCTCAATGCACTGTTGTGCCAATCTGAAGGCCGCATGAAGTTTGGAGGTCTTTAGCTATTGACTCTGCAGATGGTTGGCGACTTCTGCGCACTGGAGGGGTGTCCCAATATTTTTGGCAATATAGTGTAGTTGTTTCAGTGGTATTTTACCAATTGACTCCTTTTTTGGCTTCATGTACACTGGCGGCTCCTAAACTTGAGTTTAGGAGCCTATGTGTTTTTTTTTTTTTTTGCAGGTACACTCAACTTTTTAAAAGCCAGAGTTTCAGAGCTGTTGCATTTAGGTGAAGTTAAACCTTCCTTTCCTGAACGTGGAAGAATCAAGTTCAGGAACGTTTTGACCATCAGCCACGAGAAAATGCCAAACACAGCAAAATGAATGTAAATGCAGTACCACGTTTACATAAGTTTTTTTTCCTCGGTCAGGGTAAGCTACTATACATGTAGCCTTAATCACATAAATTCAGGGATTGTAGAACTATATAGATTATTAGGACTTGAGCACATTTTTTGAGAACTGTACATTTCCCTGTTCTGAAAAAAATAGGATCTGTCTTCAATATCACTACTTGTTCAGTTATGGAAATTTTAAGAAAGTATATCAGCAAAAATTAAATTCCAGTTGTCGGGGCTACCTCTAATGCCCACCTGTGTGCACATTTCTGGGAAAAGCCAATCACAGAAGCAGGAGAGATTTCTGTAGACAGATGGTATACAGAATGATTTCAGAAGAACTTGTTTAATTTCTTTGGCAGGTTTAGAAAAAAGCAAAGTAACTGCCCAATAAAATGTAAAGGTAATTTCAATAGCCTAAAATTACAAAAATATTTTTGATAACATTTAGCAGACCTCCTAAGTCTAAAACTTAAAAAAGAAGTTTAGGGGAGTTTTTGTTTTCCCCCAAATCATACTTACCTGGGTGGAGGCAGCATCGGTCTGATGCTGCATCTCTTCCCTTGCTGGCACCAAGTATGAGAACTCAGCAATCACATGATTGCTGAGTTCTCACTGCCGCTGTGAGCAGAGAGCAGTGACTGTCAGTCTACTCTTCCCCCTCCCCCCCACTCATTGGAGTGCTGGGCTGTGGGGGGAGGGAGCTGCTGGCTCAGGCTCTCAGCAACTCGCTAAGAGGTTGAGCCAAGTGCCGCTCCAGACTCTGGGGTGGATCCCAACTTTACGGTAGGGATTTTTCCCTAGCCTGGACCGGTTGAGTGGCATCAGCTGATAGCGGGCTTCAGTCCACTGTCATCTGAAAACGGATCACAGAAGTTTAGAACAAACTGCACTCTTGTGATCCACAGAAGTACAGCCAAAAGAGCTTTGACTGTATTTCTCCATTTACCTCTTAAATGTACACTGCAGACGGGATTAAAAATGCATCCTTGAGATGCATATGTGGAGTTCTGCCTTCTATTCAGGAATCATGTTTATCACTGGTGCACCAGTGAACCTCACTCCCCCTAATCAGGCAGTGTTAACTGTTCCCAATGTTCATGTCAGGCGCTTTGCTGAATCTTTCATGCAGAAAATCTGATATAAAAATGTAAGCATTAAGAAGTTTCTCACAATCAGAGTTTAGATTCAAACCAAGTTTAAAGCGTGACTTTACTCATAACATGTTAAAAAATAATGTTCTTTATCAAAGAACATACATTTCACATTAATAATTATGCTACCAAAATTAGTGTATGCTGTAAATTGCCTACAGAATTGTTCTTGGTTTTTATTGTTGGAGGCTACCATTTTGTTGAAGCCCAGAGCCCTGAGCAGCAGTTAAAGCAGAACATAAACCCTCCTATCATTTTCAGCCAAGGAAGCTGCCATCTGCTTGATCTTCAATTGCCATAGTGATCAAGATATAATCAGTTATGACACCAGTCATTTGATGGCTTTATAGTTTGGTTGAGAACCAAGCAAATGTGACAGTTTGCAGTCCTGTCACACTTATTAGATTGTCAGCAGATCGGCCTCTAAAAAATTACGCACAGTGCCAAGAAATGCCTAAAAGTGGAGAGCAACTGAGCTTGTGCAGAGCAGGGTGAGACCGTGTATTATTGGATTTTAAACAGTATAGGCACTTATTTTTAATGTTTTACATAGCTATACCTGCAAATTGGACCAGCCTAAAGTGTTCAAGCAAGACTTAATTTTCTGGCTAAAGTTCCACTTTAACCATTTGCCCTCCTGAGGATTTACCCCCCTTAATGACCAGGCCTCTTTTTGCTACTCGGCGCTGCACTAATTCAACTGGTAATTGCACGGTTATGCAATGTTGCATCCAAATGAAATTTACGTCCTTTTTTTCACACAAATAGAGCTTTTTTCCGGTGGTATTTGATCACCTGTAATCAGAAATCCTCCTGCGCTATGAAAATGGAAGTAATAAACCTATTCTACAGCTGCCAACACTCAAAACTGATACCAAAACAGTGTCAAGAAATCATAAAAAAACAGTGTAGCGCTTTAAAGACTGTGTCTAATACTCAATAATAATAAATCAATAAAAATATTATAAATAGACAATAGTGACAAAGAAAAATTAGTGCCAAACTCAAATATCAAATAGAAATCTATCACCCATTACAAAATACGTGTACTAACATTGAACAATAGAACTACTAATAAGCCCAACCATAAGAATAGTGTACACATAACTACTACAATTTCAAAAACTCCAAATTTCGTCCAATAAAGGGACTCTTAGCAGTGCTCACATAGTGCCAAAAAGAGTAAACATTTATAAATGTGTATAAAACAATGTCCTTTTGTGAAAATGAATCAAAACCATGCAGAATGCAGCAGTGATAATTATATAAATCCGTGACTGTGCCAAACTCTTCTCCCATTAACGGCTAGATTGCCTCCTCACCTCCTCCTAGTGACCCCAAAGGGGCCAACAGGCTTGCAGGATCACCCTGGATCCTTGATTTACAATGGCCAGCAGCTTCCTTCCTTCCCTGGATCTCCTTTGTGGGGCTCCTAATGCCCCTGATCAGTCAGGATGGTTCTGAAGAATAATAGCTCACCAATCCAGTGAGCCAAGAAAACCTCTAAGTGCAGTATTTTAGTCAACTTAGTTTATTCAAGAGTAATGTGAGTGACACTCTTTTTTTACTCTTGAATAAACTAAGTTGACTAAAATACTGCACTTAGAGGTTTTCTTGGCTCACTGGATTGGTGAGCTATTATTCTTCAGAACCATCCTGACTGATCAGGGGCATTAGGAGCCCCACAAAGGAGATCCAGGGAAGGAAGGAAGCTGCTGGCCATTGTAAATCAAGGATCCAGGGTGATCCTGCAAGCCTGTTGGCCCCTTTGGGGTCACTAGGAGGAGGTGAGGAGGCAATCTAGCCGTTAATGGGAGAAGAGTTTGGCACAGTCACGGATTAATATAATTATCACTGCTGCACTCTGCATGGTTTTGATTCATTTTCACAAAAGGACATTGTTTTATACACATTTATAAATGTTTACTCTTTTTGGCACTATGTGAGCACTGCTAAGAGTCCCTTTATTGGACGAAATTTGTAGTTTTTGAAATTGTAGTAGTTATGTGTACACTATTCTTATGGTTGGGCTTATTAGTAGTTCTATTGTTCAATGTTAGTACACGTATTTTGTAATGGGTGATAGATTTCTATTTGATATTGGATTTGATCACCTGTGTGCTATTTTTTTTTTTTTCTTTCACGCTATAAACAAAAAAAGACCAAAAATCTTGAAGAAAAACGATATTTTTTACTTTCAGCTATAAAAAATATATAAAAAAAAAAAAATAGTAATTTTGCA